CCAGTTTAGCACAAACTGCTTCGGGTAAGTGCTGTCGTGCATGAACCAATTGACGGGTTTGCCCCGCTTTGTTGGGGGTCGTCGTTCGCGAAGCGATGGAGAGAATAATTGAAGACGGAGCAAACGATGGTAAGGCGCCTTTCGGCGCACCCACAGCTGATGCCGAAGCCAAAGCTGAAATGCACAGAAACATGTAAGGGGAGGTTTGATTGAGCGCACGTCGTTGAGCGGTGCTGCAGTCTCCCCTGGGCACAGCCCCCCCCCCCCAGAACATCGACCAGACAAATCGGGTTTGCACCCTCGTGCCTTGCTGGAATCCGGGCGAGGAGGAGGTGGAGGAAAAGAAAATTCACTGCCCAAAGAAGAACGGAGTCAGGGGGGAGAGAAACGGAAAACGGGGTGGGGTTGCCCATCCGATGAAAACGCTTTGTTTCCTGACTGGGGTTCGCTCCCCCAGGCTGGGCCTGCCGACATGCCCCCCCGAAAGCATCGCATAGCATCTGGATCGGGATCTCATTCGGCAGGAGGTGGAGGGAGAGGACGAGGAGGAGGATGAAGTCCAGAGTAAACCCAAGACTCGTCAACGATATTGCAATCAACCCTCCTTCCACGCTCCCTCTCTATAAGCCCCTGTCACGAATTCATTATCATTGAGGGAAGTGCCCCTTTGGAAGACGGGGTTCAAATCACTGATGGGGGCATGCGTTGTCAAGGTTTGTTTTTCAAGGTGTTTCCATCTCTCACTCCCTTTCTTTCTTTGTTTGTCTGTCTCTCTCTCTCTCTCGCTCTCTCTCTCTCTCTCTCTCTCTCTCTTTCTCTCTCTCTCTCTATCTCTCTGTCCGCCCTCTCTGGAGGAGCTTCATGCGGATTTCTTTCCCTTTGTCTGTGGCTGTGCAGGGATCGATCGATTCGCCTTGTGGGGGGTTACACTACTATTCCCATGATGTGCGTGGGGGGATACACATTGGTTCCTTCTGTGTCGAGCGGGGGGGTCTGGGTGAAAAACCCCCGACAAAAAAAACGCCATCCCGAATCCACCGGTCTCGTTTATTTCTGGACCCAAATAAAACGGGACCAGTGCATTCGAGAGTTTGTTCCCAACCATCCTGTGGTGTTGGGTCCTCGTTTTGAAGAGACAGCGCCGCGCGATCCTCGCTCCTCCTTCCTCCCTCCTCCTCCCTCCTCCCTCCCTTGCTTCTGCCCTCCGCATGCATCTGTTTCGGCACACCCCTCACACGCTTCGTGGCCCCATAGGGGGCTCCACCGAAAGTCCCAGTGGCAAAGTTCGCATGGCGGCCCCGCCTCATGTCGGCCCACCCCTCACACGTTTCGTGGCCCCATAGGGGGCTCCACCAGAGGCCCTCGGTGGCGAAGTTCGCATGGCGGCCCCGCCCCATGTCGGCGCACCCCTCGCACGCTTCGTGGCCCCATGGGGAGCTCCAGCGAAGGTCCCAATGGCAAAATTCGCATGGCGGCCCCGCCTCATTTCGGCCCACCCCTCACACGTTTCGTGGCCCCATAGGGGGCTCCACCGGAGGCCCTCGGTGGCAAAGTTCGCATGGCGGCCCCGCCCCATGTCGGCGCACCCCTCACACAATTTTGTGGCCCCATGGGGAGCTCCACCGAAGGCCCCAGTGGCAAAGCTCGTTCGCGCCACCGCCCCATGTCGGCGCACCCCTCACACGCTTCGTGGCCCCGTAGGGAGCTCCACCGAAAGCCCCACTGGCAAAGCTCGCAAGCGCCACCGCCCCATTTTGGCGCACCCCTCAAACGTTCCGTGGCCCTATAGGGAAGCCCACCGAAGGCCTCAGTGGCAAGGTTCGCATGGCGCCACCGCACCATTTCGGTACACCTCTCGCACGTTTCGTGGCCCCACAGGGAGCTCCACCGTAGGCCCCAGTGGCAAGGTTCGCGTGGCGCCACCGAGCGCATGTCGGCACACCCCTCACATGTCTCGTGGCCCCAATGGGGAGCTCCACCGAATGCCCCAGTGGCAGGGTTCGTGGCCCCAGAAGGAGCTCCACCGAAGGCGGGGCTCACAACTGCGGCATTCACAATTGCATATGGTTGGAATTTTCGCCTGGGTACTTACTTTTTTTCTTGTTGTGTCCTTTCCCCGAAGGCCAGGCCACCCCCCTTCCGCCACAGAAAGAATGAATGTGTATCGGAAACCCGTACTACGGAAAACCTACTCAGCATTCCTTACGGCGGAGATCTCGTTAATAATCCCCTAGTAAGGGCACCTTAGTAAGGGCTTCCCTTCGAAGGATCCATTATGTAAGATTCTTTTCCAAGGACTCCTGACCAACCAAGGACGCCTTCCTCAGGGAAGTCGTCATGTACTATCAAGGTTTCCTTGGTTAAACATCCCCAAATAAGAACACCTTGCCCAAGGTTCCCTACAAAAGCGCATCTTCAAATGAATCCTTCCTGAGGATTGCTTACCGAAGACTCCTTCCTAAAGGTTCCTACATGAAAACTCTTCATTCAGGGCTCTTCACGAAGGATCTCCCGGCCAGGATTCATTATTCAGAGCTCCTTACTAACGTCTCCCCGTGTTAAGGAGGCGTTCCTAAGGCCTACATACTGGAGATTCCCTAGTCCGAATTCGTTATTCAAGATCCCTTATCGAGGATCCCATACTAAATATTACTTAATGCGGATTCCTCAAGAAGGGTTCTTACTACGGGCCCGTGGCTAAGGCATCCTTAACGCAGGGTTCCTTCGCACGGGTTTCTTAGTCATGAGTTCAAATTAAGGGCTCCTTTACTAAGGACTCCTGACGAAGGAATCCTTACTGAAGACCCCACAACAAGGATGCCCTACTTCGGAATTCTATACGGGTGACTGTTTGATGTAGATTCCTTACTAAGGGGTCCTTAGTCAAAATTCACGATCAAGGATTCTTTACCACGGGTTCCCGAATGAGGAAATCGTACCCGGGGTTCCTTACCAACAACTCCTTCGAAAAGTATCCTTACTGAGGATTCCTAACTGCTGATACCGTTTTAAAGTGCTCCTTACTGAGAATTCCAAACCAAAAAGGGGACGGTACGAAGGATTACCCGCTCATGGTTCCTGGTGAGAACCCCATTTGCTCAGGATTCGCGACTAAGGAACCCTTACTAAAGAGGCGCGGTTCACGAACCATTCGGAAGTGTTCACCAGGTCGGATCCGTTATGCTGGAATACATGCTGATGGGTCCCTTAACAAGGTGTCCTTTATTAAGGGTACCATCGTAAGCATTCCTGATAGCGGATACCTTACGAACGATCTCAATACGAATGATCGTTTGACACGGGTTCCTTTCTAAGGCCCCCCTGATGCAATATCGATCAGTACAGATTTCTTCGTAAGAATTCCTGGCTTAGGGCTTTCTGGGTTCACTATCAAAGACTCCTTGATACGGCATATTTTTTGAAACAAAAGCGAAAACCTTACTCAGGGTGTCCGATTCAGCATTTCTCCAGGACTCCTTCCTGAAAGCTCCTTAGTACGGGTTCCTTATTAAGGGTTCCTTGCGGAAGAAATCGCAACGACAATCTTCCTAACGCGAAGGAGCTCCTATTCAGGAGTCCTTAATAAGAGCTCCTTGCCCAGGACTGCCTACGAATGGTGTCCTTACGAGGAAGGCGCGGCTAAGGAATCACACCTCATGGTTCCCTTGTCAGGGCTCGAAATGAAGGTTTCCTTACTGAGGACCCCATTAACAAATATTCCTGTACTAAGGAGGCGCGACTACGGAATCATTGCAAGGATTCCCTACTTCACTATTAAGGATTCTTTAGTTATTAAAAAAGGTTCCCTAGGAAGGGAACTTTACTCAGGCTTCCCTAGTAAAGACTCCTTCGCAAAGATTCCTTTCAGAGGGTTCCTTACTACGGATTATTATTCAAAGATCCCGTACCAAGAATTCTTCAATACGGATTCCGGACGAAAAGGCTCTTACTACGGAGCCGTGATAAAAAAAAAACACATCCTAAGCAAGCGTTCCTCTGCAACATATATTTTGGTTACAGATCCGTCACGTAACATTCCGCACACAATATTCCACAACACGGATTTCTTACTAAGGGTTCCGTAATACGGAACTACCATTAACAAGGACTTCGTATTAAGAATTCCCCCGCAAGAAAACCTGCGCACCATCCTTAAGAGAAGCCTTGAAGACGCAAACAGCCGCTAACGTCTCGAAACCTGGAAGAGAACCACTTGAAAATCCGGAACTGCGCCTGGACACCATTCCTGGGAGTTCACGCAACGAATCACCGTTACTGTTGCGTTTTGTCGATCCTGAATCGCGCCGGAACGCAATCCCTGGGACTTCAAAACCACAAATCAACGTGACTGTTGCGCCCTGGTATTTCGACATCGTGCCAAAATACCGGGACGGCAACCACGACATTCCTTGAAACTGCTGCAAACTCTGAAGAAGAGTGTGCGCGGCTCTAGAGTGATGCGCCACATGTTGAATATGGCCCGCCCTCCATCAGTGAAGATCTGACAATTTTTCAAAACGAGTGTGCGCGGCGCTAAAGCGAGAACCACACTTAACCACAGTTTGAAAACGGCCGGCTCTCCATCATCGCAACTCTTGCAATGTTTTACGAATGCGCGCACCGCTTAGGCGAGAGCCACATCTTGAACACGGCCCGCCCGCCATCAGTGAAGCTCTTGCAAATTTTGGAAAACGCATGTGCGCGGAATTGCGGCGAGAGCCGTATTTTGAAAACCACACACGCTCCATCCACGAAAGTGTTGCAACTCTTAAGCTTCTTCATGATCGTACGTGGTGAAGAAACCTCAAGCGAAACGCCCGGCGCGCCCTTTCGACGGGCCTCAGGGTGCGACAGGGAAGAGCTGCTTATGAGAAAGCGGGATTGAGGAGCAAAAGGAGGAGGAGGAGGAGGAGGAGGAGGAGGAGGAGGAGGAGGAGGAGGAGGAGCAGGAGGAGAAGGAGGAACGGAGGCGGCGGGCAACTTCCACGCAGCCCACCATC